TGTGCTGGTCCCAGACCCCGATCCCTTCTGCTCCCGGCGTGGCCGTGGATGGAGGTTGGCAGCTGGGAATGGGCGCACATGGGCCGGATCCTGGGGCCGGGCAGCCTGCCCCTGACTGCCGAGCAGCTATGCAAAGTCACACCTGGGAACCAGAGCGCAGCCTGCAAACGTTTTAATTAAAGCAAAGGGAAGGGATTCGTGTTGAAGGCAGTCATTACCTCCCCAGCTCTTCTAGGAAAGCCTGTTGCTGCAGACAATGGTAATTAAGTGGAATATTACAAAGGGTTTGGAAGAGTAAAGCGAGTGATGATGGTTTAGGCACCAAAACAAGGAAAATTTTTGCAGAATCTCTGTCCCACACCATTTCCCTGCTTGGCTTGGGTTGCTTACACGAGCTGTCCCCCTGAAGCTGCGGGCGGGCTCTGGTGGCCCCTGCGACAGGAAGGTGCCTGCAGAGAGGATGTTGATTTGGGGGACAGGGGGTGGGGATGCAGAGCAAAGGGAGAAGGGATGAGGCCAGCTGAGGTGTTTCCAGGAGCCTGTGAGCATCGCTTTTGGACCCTAGTAATTTGGTATTTGCTTTTCTTTCGGTGCAGGCTGGAAGAAAGACAGTCAAAACTTCTAAGGTTGGTTAAGGTTAAATTGTCAGTGGTTGTATTAATCCTCACACCCATGCTGTGTAATTCAGCGTTCACATAGGTGAGTCCAAAATCGAGGTGACTCAGGGTTTATTTTTAACCTTCACTAATCTTTGGCCCATCCGCAACATCCTCTGCGGCAGCAGGGACCAGGGAGTTGGGTTTTGTTCCCAGACTTTGGTCTCTCTTACTGCAGCTCCTTTCATTTTGGGGGTGGTGGGGAGCAGGGATTTGATGCTCCTGTGTTTTGGGGTGCCTGGGTTTCGGTGAGGTTTTGCCAAAGTGTCTCCTGCAGACCTGCTGGGCTGGCCTGTGCTCACCTGTATTTGCTGTGCTGGGTTTTGTAAAGCCGGGCTGCTGAGGGGTCAGGGAACAGAGCAGAGTCTGGCTCATTGAAACCAGTAAGGAGCCAGTGTCTGTGTCAGGGGGTTTTCCCCTTTCTGATTTTTTTGTTCTCCTTTTACAATAACTGACCAAAATACCTGTGTTGATTTGTGAGTGGGTCTGCTGCAGCTCACCGAAACCCATCCTCAATCTAGATCATCCTGATAAAACCCTCCCCCAGAGCCCCGTATATGCTTGGGTTTACTCCATCCTTTTAAGGAAGCAGGAATTAAACACTGTTTGGGTTTTTTCCCGAGCTGGCAGAGCTGTGCAAACCCCTCCCCTCCACGGAAGAAAGGCTTCTGGGTTAACCCACATCACATGGTAAGAAAAGAACAGTGATTAGGGTTTTTTTGTCACTTAATAGATAAACCCCCACCCTCCTCCTCTTCTTTTCTCTGATTCTTCAATTTGTTTTGGGACAACTGATTTCAAGCTTTTCATTATAATTTTATCTGAATTTTGAAACTACTCCCCCAGCGTACAGGAAAAGTCCCTTCCAGCTCATTCTGCTGCAGGCTGGGAGTGTTTCAGGCTACCGGTCCTGTTTCAGAATAAAAAGATTTAGGAACAAATAAATTACAATCCAGTTTTATTGGGCACATTCCAGAAAAAGAGGAAGGAAAACACAGCATCATATCACTATCATTATAGTATAAAAGGCTCCAATTTTATTTTTTTAGTAGTGTTTTCAGAAAAACAAAGACATGGTGGAAGGCTAGAGGGGTAAATTCCATCAGAAAGGGGCTGGTAGATTTTGGGCACTGGTGTGCCTCTGGGCTCCTGCTCCCGGTTGCCTCGTTGCCCGTGTGCTGGGCTGAAGCCTGACTGCGCTTTTCAGTTTCCCAAATGTCTTTCTTTTGGCAGAGAAACCCACCCACACTGGGGAGGCTGAAATACCCCCAGGAGCCGTGTGGACACGGCCCTTCAGGCAATTTTTGTCAGTGTTATTTCCACTGTCTCAGACTTTCACCTCGACTGCTGCTGCCAAGACAGAGGGGAAAGTCAGCAAGCCTTGGACTGTTGGAAGATTTGGGCATCTTTTAAGCCATTCCAACAAAACCTAGCATCAGACAGGACAGCAACCCAATTTAACTAGACACACTGATCTTGCTTTTGAAGAACTCTCTGCCTCAGTTATTATTTAGAATTTAAAAAACCAATTGTTTAGAAAACAGGCCCTTTTCCATGTGTTTTGGATCAGTTTCTGGTGGCTCCTCTGACAAAATACACTCACAGGATTACACAGAAGGTGCCACTATGGGCAAACTTTCATTTAAGAAGAGGAAGGACAGAAATGGAAGAGTAGTTTGGGCTTCCTTTTAGACAAGCTCATTGCTCATTGCAGGTTGACTCGCACCCTGCGGGTGGTACTTTCAGATGGAGGTATCTCCAATTGCTTTCCCAGTATCCTGCTCTGAACCACTGGCCAGGCTTCACCCAGCTGCAGGTCTTGGCACATCTGGAAGAAACATGTTTTTCAAAGCTCAGCAGTGGATGAGGAGAGGAAGAATTTTCCATCACATTTGAGTGACTCAGAAGTGACTCCTAATGAGCTCTGTGCTCCCATAATAAGGGATATTTTAAGAGGGGCTCCACGCTTGCAAACCACTGCCTGGGATCTTTCAGCAACCTCCTGGAGTATTTCTACATAGCAGAAAAATAACCCACATCTCTGATAAAGGTGAGTTGCTTGACTCGACGGCATGAGTTTGGTTCGGCAAAGCAGATGGAACTGAAGCCAAGTTCCCAGCCCACCCCTGGGCTCCTGTGGGCCAGAGCTGAGCTAAAAACCCAACTTACTGAATCTTCACTGCCCTTTGATCTGTTTTAGTGGATGGCTGTCAGCTAGCCACAACTACAGACAAGCTGCTCAGCCTCATTCAAAGCAAACAAGAAAACAAAGAACCCAATTCCCCATTCAGAAGATCACTTAGGCCGTGTTTGAATCCTGTGTCAGGTACGTTGAGGTGGGGTCAGCATCTGCTCCGATGCTTTTCTTGAACTGGGATCCAGATGCTGCAGAAGTGCAGTGCGAGGAGCCGGGACAGAGGTGGGTGGAGGGGATGGAGTTGGGCAGGAGTGACACAGGAGTGATGTGGGAGCGATGGTTTGGGGGAGGCTCTGGTGCTGGTTTTACTCGGGCTGTGTAGCGTTCTTCAGGCTTTGGCTTTTTATGCTCTTTTTGCTGGAGGAGGTTTTAGAGACGATTTTCACACCTGGGTTGGTGCCTTTTGCACTTCCAGAGCTGAAATTCCCTCCGCTGGTGCTCAGACTGCTGCTGCCTCCTCCACCATGGCCAACACCACTTGCAATGCTGAGACCACTGCCTCCTCCAAATCCACCTCCAAGACCACCACCGCCTCCGAGTCCAAGTCCTCCTCCACTTCCAAAGCTGTAGCCTCCAACGCCGCCGCCTCCTCCAAGACCAAACCCACTTCCACCGCCTCCTCCAAGACCAAACCCACTTCCACCACCTCCTCCAAGACCAAAACCGCTTCCACCGCCGCCTCCTCCAAGACCAAAACCGCCTCCGCCACCTCCTCCACTTAGGCTCAGTCCACCAAATCCTCCTCCTAACCCAGCTCCTCCAGCTATGGCAGAGCTGGAGCTGATGACAGCTGCAAGAAAAAGCAATGAGAAAGTTGGACAACTGCTGGGCAGTCCTGCAGTTCCAGAAAGCACGATCATCAGGACATTGACCCACAGGACTTGAACCCAACTTCTCTTGCCAGTGGAAGCCACTAGCGCTGGTGGAGGGCTCTGAACATCTTCTGTGGGGCAAAGCCTCCCCTTTCCCCGAGGTTGCTCACAGCCTCTGCTCCCAACAGGCCCAAAGCAAGACAAGTAGAGTCATACTTACAGTAGCTGATGGGGTTGAGTCCCTCTCCGCTCAGCCTGTCGGAGGGCAGATAAAGAGGTTAGAGCCAAATGAAGAAGGCAGGCAGGGGGACCAACTGCTGGCAGGGGCAAAACGATCGTGGGTATTATTCCTGCAGAGATTTTTCTCCCACCTGCTCTCCTCGCCCTCCAGCAGCTTCCTGTAGGTCGCGATCTCGATGTCCAGGGCCAGCTTGACGTTCATCAGCTCCTGGTACTCGCGGAGCTGCCGGGCCATGTCGGCTTTGGCTTTCTGCAGGGCGTCTTCCAAGTCAATCATCTTTGCCTTGGCATCTTTGAGGGCCAGCTCCCCACGCTCCTCAGAGTCCCCGATGGCCGTCTGCAGGGTGGCACACTGCAAGAGGAGGGATTTGGGCTCCTGAACGCTGCTTTTCCTTTTGGGTAAGAGTCACCCAGGGAAGAAAACCATTCTGGTTGGCATGTTAATGGAAAAGGTTACTGCTGAGGTCATGCAGCCATAGCTGCCATTGCTAGAGTTGAAATGCCAGCCTGGCAAGAAGGGTTGAATACGTGTCCCACTTTTCAGGAGGGAGTTCAATGTTTCCCGAGGTAGCTCATGTTCTGTGGCTGCTAAGGTCCCCCGTGCACCAAGCAGAGCTGCGGTGCAAAGGGACCACAGAACGGGGCTCCCTGGGCTGCCTTTGCTGTTCCTACCTGGTTCCTGGTGTTCTCTATCTCCGAGCGGATCCTCTGGATCAGCCGGTTGAGCTCGGAGATTTCCCCCTTTGTGTTGCGCAGGTCGTCCCCGTGCTTCCCAGCCGTGGCCTGCAGCTCCTCAAACTGAGGGTCAGAAAGAAGAGTAAACCATCTGAGATGTTCAGGTGGGCAAAGCCTCACGTGGGCTCCATCAGCCTCATGCAGGGACAGCAGCAATTTCCACCCAAATGCATCCGTGGCACCTCTGGGTTTGGTCACCTTGGTTTGGTACCAAGCCTCCGCCTCGGCCCGGCTCCTGTTCGCGATGTCCTCATACTGAGCTTTGACCTCAGCTATGATGCTGCTGAGGTCCAGGTCCCGGTTGTTGTCCATGGACAGGATGACAGCGGTGTCCGACACTTGTGCGCTGAGCTGAGCCAGCTCCTGTGAGGGCGGACACAGATCCCGGGCAGCTGCACTCACCTTGCCAGAGGCCACGGGTGGTGGCGGTCACTGTCCAAGGGGTGACAGCAGGACAGAAGTCAGGGAGGGGTGTGTCCCTACCGCATCGTAGAGGGCTCGGAGGAAACTGAGTTCATCGGTCAGGGCGTCCACCTTGGCCTCCAGCTCCACCTTAGTCATGTACGCAGCATCCACGTCCTGGAAAAGAGCAGCCCCGGGGACACCTGCCTCACCTGGTGCCTCTGCTCTGCCTCGGGGAGGAACTGGCCAAGCCTGGAGTTTGTTCCTTTCAGTGCTGCAGTGGTGGTGCCTGACTGGAGAGGATGTGCTTGGCACATCCCCCTGGAAGAACACCCAGAAGACATCTCTTGGCCAGAAGAAGTATTGTGTGTAGTGTTGGTGGTGGGTAAGTTGGGGGGTGTAGGCCATTTGGCCTTCATACTTGGGGTGTCTGGCACTCCTGACCATCTGTTTCCACATGGTCTGTTTTGCCCAGTCAAGCACGTGTGTGCCGTGGGACAGGAGCAGGGTAGGACTTCCATCCCCCAAGCCCCTCCGTTCCTCTCCCCCAAAACCACAATTCAAGTAACAGCTTTTAAAGGATGAGGATGCAGCTCCATGAGATCTCCCACCCTCTGGGGCACTCCCAGCCTGTGCAGTGGTTAGGGTTAGCTCAGCATCTGTAACGCCTCTTGTCTCACCCACCTTCTTCAGCACCACAAATTCATTCTCTGCTGCTGTGCGTCGGTTGATTTCCTCTTCGTATCTGCAGGGAGAGAAGGAAGGAGATGCTGGATCATACCTTGGTAAGCAGAAAAGTTGTCCAGGTAGGACTGTGGGGTTATCTGGGCTGGGTGTGGCATTTCCAAATCAACCTCCTGGAAACTGCCCAGCTCAAATCTGTGAGAATCCCATTTCTCAAAGAGCTGAAATGACATTTTGACATAAAGGAGATGGAACGAGGAGGGTAAAGCTGCTTTAGGTGATTTTTCTTTGCAAGTGCCATCACAAGTCCTTGTGTCCTGGCAGAACCTGCTTCTTCTGATTGGAAAAACGTTGATGGGCCACCTTTCTGCTGCTGCTGAGGAAGACAAAGGTTCTGCAGGGAGATAGATACCTCACAGGAGGGGTATATTAGAGGGGGATTAGTTAGGGGCTATGTTACAGGCTAGAGCACAGACTCTGCTTTTTTCCTTTTCCTGTAGAAAGTCTGATGAATACCTCAGGCTAGATGTTTGACTTTCAGAAAGCTAAATTTAAGTGAGATTAATCCTACTGCCAAGCTGAACCATTTGCATCCAGTTTCACCCCAGGGTGCCTGGATGTGCTGCTAACAGGCACTCACTTGTTCTTGAAATCCTCAACGAGGTCTTGCATGTTCTTCAGCTCGCCGTCCATGCGTCCTCTCTCGTTGAGCAGGTTGGCCAGCTGCCGTTTCAGGTTGTTGATGTAAGCCTCAAAAAGCGGGTCCAGGTTGTTTTTGCCCGTGTTGTTTTTTTGACCTTGCTCTTGCAGGAGGGTCCATTTGGTCTCCAGCACCTTGTTCTGCTGCTCCAGGAAGCGAACCTGAGCATTGGGAAGCAGAAGAGGCTTAGCAGGAGATACCTGTGAGCGTGCTGATGGCCAATTATCAGTAACTGGGACCGATGCACAGCACAAACCAAGGAAATCCCAAACCAATCCAGCTGTGAATGTCCTCCAGGTTGTCTAGGGCTATGTTAGCCCTGCCAGTGGCCAGGCAGATCTGCCATCAGCAGGCAATTCTCTCTAGATACAATTTAATTCAGCAAACCAATGAGCAATCATTGGAAAATGCAGGTTCGGCTCTTGCATCACTCGCTTTCTCTAACATCCTTTGGGTTCCCTTTCTTTGTAAGAGAGATTTCTCTTCCTTCATTAAAGCTGTGACCTGAGTGCTACAGACAAGCACTTAATTGCCTTTCCTTTTGCTCATCTATAGCACAGATTTACCCAAGTAAAGGTCAAGGAAGGACTTGAGTAGATATAAACAGGACTTCAGCTTGCATACAATACAGCAATAAGGTCTGCAGTGTCTGTGGTGGTGCCCTGCAGAGAGAGCTGGGTTAAGCAGCTGCATCTGGACCCAAAACTCTCTAACTCCATTTCAGCTCATGTGTCTTATTTCTCAGGCACCAAACCTGGATCTAATCCTCTTCGGTTTTAGTTTCTAGTCCAGTTTTCTGCCTTGTAACTGTTTAGAATGTTCTTTTTTGATTACTTTCATGGAGACACACAGATAGGAAATGTGCAATAGGCAGTAGATCTATGAAGTCATGGGTGTGTAGGTGCAGGACTGTCCTGCTCCTATCCCAGCTCTACAGCACTTGATGAAGTCTCACCTTGTCAATGAAAGAGGCAAATTTGTTGTTGAGGGTCTTGATTTGCTCCTTCTCATCTTTTCGCACTTGGTGGATGTTTGGATCTATCTCCAGGTTCAGTGGTGCCAGGAGACTCTGGTTGACAGTCACTTCTTGGATTGTACCGATTCCAGGTGGGCCACCACCAAATCCTGCTGGGCTCCTGCCAACACCTAGCCCTCCACCGAATCCTCCCAGCCCTCCTATTCCACCGAACCCAAACCCTCCACCACCTCCCTGTCCACCACCAAAGCCAAGCCCACCAGCACCTCCACCAAAGCCATATCCACCACCACCACCTCCACCACCAAGACCAAGTCCAAGACTGCCAGCAGCTCCACCACCACCAAGTCCACAGCCACCTCCCAGGCCAGAACCAGCACCAGCTCCACTCCCAAAAGCAGCTCGGAAGCTGCTTCCAACACCGATGGAGATCCTTTTGCTACCACCAAGGTTGTAGAGGCTCCTGCTTCCAAAACCACCACCACCTCCTCCTCCGATGAGCCTTCCAAAACCACCTCCACCTCCTCCAGATCGTGCCACAGACATGGAGCTAAAGGCAGCCCTGTTGCCACTGGGAACAATTGCCGAGGCAGTGCTGTAAGATCTGCCCCCACCTCCCGCTCGCATGCTGTAGCTTTGCCGGCTCATTGCAGCAGGAGACCAGAGCCCAGCACCGGCGAGAAGCAGCAAACGGCTCTCTGGGGAAGGGAGCACGGGACACCCTTTTATCCCTCTGGGGAGCTGGGCTTGGTTGCATGGAAGTCCAGCGATCAATTTGGTGCCTTCATGGTTTTGACGTGCCCGGCAGCCAGCTGTCTTACTGAAACTTGTTAAACCCTGATTGCACCCAAACACGCCTCTTGGAGCTGGGGCGAAGCTGCTCAGCTAGAAGAGTTATCTAACTCCCTCATTTTTGGCAGGGAGAGCTCAGCCCTAGTGTGCTTCCCAAGGTGTATTAGTTCCTAGCTGTGAAGCAAAAGAAAAGAAATAAAAAAGACTGAAAAAAAAAAAATAGCTCCTCAGGTACCCCTGTGCTACATCTAAGATGCAGTAGATCAGTGGAGAGCTTGGTGGAGAGTCCTCGGAGTTAACTGGAGTGAAAAGCAGTGAGAATAAAATGGGTAAATCTGAATTTCACGGGGCTTCTTCACCTGCAGGCAGAGTGCGTGTGACGTGCGGGAAGCCTGAGGTCTCTTTCAGGGCTCTTTGACCCGCTCTGCCCGTTCACACTGGCTGGGCAGACACCGTCCTTTGGAGCTGACTAGCACAGAGGTCCTGAGTCCTGACCCGTGGCTTTCCTCTGAGACACTACATTGAAGTGTCACCTCAAACTGTGGCCATTTAGTATCAGCTATTTAGCCAACAGCAGGTTTCCGAGGCTGTCCTGGAGATCTTGGCCTCTCCAGAGGACAGCTCCGTCCCACCAGAGGCTGCCGTTGCAATGTCTCCAGCCAGCTGGTGATGTGACCGGTGCACTTTCAGCTTGAGCTGAAAAGCACTGCTATGAAAGAGGCAGATTTTCTGAGCACCACTGTGCCCGGCTTTGTGGAGTGGTACTATTTGCATTTTGACATCAGGATGTCATCAGCCTTGAGGTTCCAGCTCTTTGCAGCTGGGATTTCTTTTACAGACCTTTGAACCTTTCCATTCAAAATGTTCCCAAAAGCAAAGATTCAACCCCCATGAGAAATATTCCCACAAATTCTCCTTATTTAACTTCCTGGCATCCTTGGGAAAAAAAAGAGCAAATTCAGTAGGGTGTGGTGACATTTTTTGGGCCTCTCAGACTTGGTGGAACTGCAACTTCTAGAATATTTTATTCTTTGTGTTTAAGAGCTCAGTTCATTTTCAGCATGTTGCTGTCCTGGTGGCATTGCCCATGCCGTGCGCGTGACTGGAGCCTAAATGTATTTGCAGGACAGGACTCTACATGCTCTTCAAAATACAATTAATGTGCTACAAAACCATTAACTGTGAGCTAAAATCCCACTGGCATGTCTGGAAGAAAATTTAGGCAGATGCTTCGTGTTCAGCCAAATGCAGAAGACCGAATACCTGATGATCCTTGGAGAGGTGCTGCCAGACAGGTGAGTTGGGTCACTCCAGCAGAATTTCCCATCGTGGTGTGAAATGCCCGGTCGGTACAGGTCGGCTTGCTTTTCTTTGGAAAACCTTGGTCTGAAGCTGCCTGGGATGCCACTTGAAATTCATGAACATCTATTGCTTTGATTATTTGCATAAAATTCAAAGGCCGGGTGCGATGGGAAAATGAGATTGTCTTCATGCTTTCTTGACCCCAGCAAAGGCAGATTGTCCTGAAGCTGACAAACGGGTTCGGATCAGATATTAGAGCTGAATGAATATAATGGGATTAAAGGTGGGGCTGCCAACAAGAAAGAGGGAATTGTCATTCGAGGCTCCCACACGTTTCTTCCTCCAGCCCACTGTCCACAAGGTATGTGAGCGATGAAAAGGCTGGGTGAAAAAATGCACCGTTTCTTTACTGGGATGGTTTATTGTGGAGGACCTGAGGTTTGTGGGCTCCATACCCAGAGGCAGATGTGGCTTTTTGCATCTGTCAGTTTGGATCAACTCTACTAGACTCTATTGATCTACCAAGGTGCATGTCCAGAGTGACACCAAGTTGAATTTGGCCTCCAAGCTGCTCCCCAAAAAACATGTTCCTGCCCTTTTTTTCTCTCCAGAACAGCCTGATCTACATGAACGTCTTCAAGCAGGCTGGAGAAAACGGAAGTTTTGCAATACTTGGGAGCTGAGCAGGACAGGGATGATTAAAGGTATTCTCCCAGAAATGCAAGAGCTGCTGGGCTGCTTTGGCACCCTGGGGAGACAGCTGAGTTTTGGTGTGCAGGAATTGTTTGGCAGGGAGTTGATCAACATAAATTATGAGCTATTGGGGCACTAGAAGCTTCTTGTTTGGGTGTTTCTTCTTGTTATTTACATACAAATGAGGTGAAGTCCCAGTCATATGTTTTGAGGCAGAAAAGATGAAGATAACCTTTTCAAAGACCATATTCTTCAGGTGGGTGGGTTTTGCCTTCTCAGCAAGGGCTGATCTGTTTGGCTTTCACCACCACCCCCAGCACTTCTTAAAAAATAACCCCTCAGAGCAAACACTGCAGAGCTGGGGAGCTGGAACCCACCGTGCTTGGCACGGCCTCTGTGCTGGGAGAGGAGCAGGGGCAGATGCTCAGCCAGCAGTGGGTTCATCGCCACCAGGCCGGCACGGGCAGCCAGAGCCTGGCAGGGTGGTTGACCTCATCCTCCAGCCACGGAGAGGTTGGGGCAGACAAGCCCTGAGTCAGCAGTGAAGTCTAGGAAGTGGAGCGGGACGTCGGGGAATAAATGGCAGCAGGCAGCCCTCGCTGTGCCTTCACCTTTCCCGGGGTGAATTAACCCACCCACGCCCTGTGCCGCTTCCAGACTGGGCGCGGAGAGACAGATTTCTCCAAAGGGCAGTTCAGAGCGGGGTTCTCTCAGGGGCTTTCGGCTGCGCCCAGGCGAGCCATGGGAGGGGAGAAGCTGGCAGGGCCAGCTGGTTTTCCTGGCATCCAGCTGTGCATCCAGCTGTGCTGGGTGCCACCGTGGCAAGCCTCTGCCAGCCACGTTATAGAGAGCTCTGGGTGGGTCACCGTCCCATGGAGACTGGGGACCCTCGTGGAGAAAAGGGATGGGGCAGCCTGACCTCACCTGAATCCCAGTCTCCTAAAATGGTGGGAGAGGGGCTCATCCTCCTGGCGGGGGACACTGGGGGACACATCCAGGCACTGCCAATAGACCCTGCTCCTGGGGTGAGTTTTTGTGTCCTAAGGAGGATGAGGGGTGAGGCACCTGAGGAAGAGAGGCTCCGGTGCTGCATTTTGGGGAGGCAACGCTTATCTCTCTTGATTTCTTTTAAAATTAGCTTACTCTTGTGAGAGGGTTTCAGGGGTGGGGTGTGGGATAATTTTCTTTGTTACTACCTGAGCTGGTTCTCACTGATTGCTTTAAACAAAAGCATGGCTGCTTTTTTGTCGTGCCTCCAGAGATCCCAGACAGCGTGAGAGATCCCGAGTGAGCTGCACATCCCTGGAGCAGTTAAATATCCTGGATTACACCGCGTTGCCAAACTTCCTGGTGGCCACGCTGGTCTCTGGATGGAATAAAGGTATGCAGAAGTGCATCAGGAAGGAGGGCAGACAAAGCCTCGGAAAAACTCTGTTAAAACTCCACTTCTTGTGAGCTCCTGACCCCACCCGTGTGGAGAGTCAGGAGAAAATTTCTTTTGACATTTTTTTGAGAAAATACCTCCCCCTTTGTAATAGCAGGGAGGGAAATAAAACCCGTGAAGCAAAGCATGAATTATGCATGTAGTTTATTGAAGGTACAGCTGAAAGTCTGGAGTAAGCGAAGGGTAATCGACTCTGTTCACTTACACATTAAAAGCATTAAATCCGTCTATCTAGTACACACAGGAAAAACCACACATGCCTTTAACTATAAGGTGCTCGTCAGTGTGTAATTAAAATCTGCTCTACCAAACCTGGTGTAGCAACTTGGGCCAATTTACATGAGCATTACCAACCCTCTCGTAAACAGGAAAAATTGGATTTTCTGGTGTCATTAAAGACGTTAAATAATAGCTGCAGCTCCATCTCGGACAATTAAAACGCGGCTTCTCTTTCTGAAATTGGGACGACCAAATTTTTCACCCTTTTGCAATAGCTGCGTTAGGAAAATAAAATCCCTGCTGAAACGGGGTCAAGCAGAGAAGGCTCATTTAAAAGCCAAGATGATGTGTGCAGACAGGTACGGCCTCTCTGAAACAAAACTCTCACCTGGCCGAGACCCCGGGGGAGGGGAGGGGGAATTTTCCCCCAGGGAATGCAGGAGAAAGGTGGGTTTTGATCATGCAAATTCTCGGCAGAGCGACTAGCCTAAACTGCGCGGGCACGGGCGGCGCATGGTTGTGTGATCCCTGTAGCTGTCGGAAGGAAGGGGAATACTGTTTTCTTGCAGAAATGCTGATTATTGTAAAACGGGCCGCGTCGTCGCGCTCCGGCCTCTACCGGGTCGTTCTGACGACGCGCACGGCCGTGCTGTACCTGCTCCCGGCGCCGCAGACCCCGGGCCCGGGGATGAGGACGGCGCCCGGGCTGCACTGCTCCACGCCGGCGCACACC